CTGTAATAATATTAACCAGTGTCTGATAAGCAAATGTAAGTAAAATATAAGTTTTTATTTTAATATTCTAATTTTTGTCAACGACAAGTTTGTGTCGATTAAGTTTTTTAATGCCAAAATACAAAAAAGCATAAAAAATAAGTTATCTCCCAACGTGTGTCTATAACGCTAACATGCAGACTCCCTAATGGTACTTTTGTTCTGGCTATTCAATGTATATGGCCACTTAAAATGAGTTCTTTGGTTTGCTTCGACATCTATTCACCGCAATCGTTACTAAAGGCAAACATGAGATCTAGTACTTATACTTTAATATCAAGATACAGATAGGGTACAGATTTATATATATTAATTATAAATGTTTTAATTTCATATATCTGTGTAAGTTCAAAATAAATAAAAAAATATATATAGTTAGTTAAATCTATACATTTCAAAAAAATCAGATTTACAAAAATAATTTTACCACCAATAAACATAACTGAAGTGGGACTCTTATTGTCAAAAATAAAATATAAAGCATTATTTAATTATTTTTTAAAATATTGCTTGCGTTACTTCTAAGTTTGCAGTAGAACTCACCATAGAACAATGAAGTTGACATATCAGCATAACAAAATAATTGTATAATATCAAGAGCGTGATTATACGTCATACAAATGCTTAAATTATAATATCTAAAAATATAATTTGTGTTAGTTTTTATTGAAATCGTGAATTATACTTCTTTTTGAAAACTCAATTACTGTATTATAACAATATGTTCTCTTAAAACTATGGATAAACTTATTTCCTGCAAAGGGTTTCAATATTGTAAAATTAAATTATAATAATGTACACAAATGACCTCAGGAAACACTTTTTTTGAAATATTTAATAAAACCAAATTATGTTAAAAATAGATTGTGCAATCTGCTCTCGGTAGTTCATATAAATTGAGCTATGGTATAAGTTTGTGGTATCTTCATTATAATAGCTCTTTATTATTTTGAATTAAGGAACTTTTGGAGTACGAAAAATTTTCATATGATAGAATTTAGAAAAATCTTCGTCGTTATACTCCTAGACACGAAAATAACTTTTAAGAAAAAAAATTAATTAATAAAAGATTTCATGATATAGCCACAAGTTGAGGTACAGGATTGTTGACTTTTAAACCTGTTTAAATTCCCTCCACAGCCACTAAAAGAAAACCCCCGACATCTTCGTGTTGTTATATCAAAGTACCATCTGTAATAATAGAATTAGAAATATGCCAGGGTTAATTGTTATTTTTTCAAAAAGTAATAAGTATTGAATAAAAGTAAAATATATCAAGATTAAGAAGGATTTTTTTTGTTATCACACCTGTGGCTAACAAGCTTGCCTCTTAGGGCTAGCGTGATATTCCTGAAGTACTAGAAAAAATCGCTTGAATGTTGCTGAAATTTCAGATACGTATCAATCCCTAAATTCTTTGAATATTCTTTTGCATCTTTTTTTGGGAAAGCCAATATTTATATTACATTCAATTAGATTATATAAGCAATATCACCATCAACACTAGTTTACAACCCACTATTATTTACGTATGTGGTCTTAAAATATCGATCATAAAATTGCACATGTGGAAATATATATGTTTTACAATCCATATATTCATGGAGAAAAAATATTATTTTATATTTTACGGATACCTGGGATGATACTCATTGCACTGTCCAAAATCTGGTTGGAGTCTGCAAAATACCTCCGTAGTGAGATTTTGGGTGAGTGTTTGGACTCCAGCATCTGCAATTTTGATGTGAAACTGATAATTCGTTCTGGTCAGTGTTAGTTCTAAATTAGAAAATCCAGTTAAACAAATAAATATTTTTTACTATGGTCTTACTCCACTTGCAACATGAAACAGAGGTAATAAATAAAATTCGACTAAATATCCCAATCCCTTGAAAAAAAATCTGAATAGATATCATTTTTTCAATTTAAATATTTTACATTTATAGTTGTTTAAAAATATCAAGAATGGTAAGTAAAATACTTATACCAGTATAATATAGTTATATCAAGTTTTATATATGTAGTTAGAGATTTAATTTTTACGTCTATACATACTTACATAATTCTTTTCAGAATACAAAAGCAAACGGACTAATCAATCTTAATCGGTATATAAAAAAGCATACCTAAATGCCATTGACAATATAACATGGAAAATATAATATATTTAAAGCAATCTATTACCAATATTAAATTTTAAAAATGTAGGAGTAAACTCAAACAATGTGAAAGTCGGTATCATATGTTGTAAAAGTTAGACATGGAATATGCTACAGAAACACAATTATAAACTGCTTCAAACTGTTAGTTGTCTTAACTTCTATGCAGTTTTTTTACTTATAATTAAAATTATATAGAAAACTTGTTTGTTCATTGTGTAGCTGTCTATGAACATAAAGCTTTGTATGCAGTATACATTTTGTTTTAACCTCTTTTCCGAACGAACTATGTTCGAAATTCAATTGTTAAATCAGATCACAATCGAAACGGCCGAAACATGAATATTTAAAAATAAAATTCACGTTTTCAGGTAAAACGTTATAATAATGAATATTGTTCCAAAGTTTAAGAAGATTGTATGGATTCATTAATTTTATTTAATAGTTTTGTGTTCCTTTATATAACATCCATAAAAGGATTCCGCCTTTATGTAACAAGATTTTTCCTTTACCGAGAACAAAAATTTAATTAAACGTGAAGCACTAGATTCAAAGAATTTCATAAGGTGCATAATTTAATATTTTCTCTTCATCAGAGACACTCAATATAGTATAATTCTTTCTTTCTTTTCTTTTTAAAGCACTTGACTTCCTTAGGTTATCAATTTGGCAGTTATTGACTATTATTTATAACTGAGTTTATTTTTAAATATAAACAGATTAATACAAACGTTAATGCATATTACTAATAGTTAAAGTTATTTTAAAATAAAGTGTTCATTATTTGAATAAAAATGTTAATCACCTTGACATGCGTGATGACAACTAGACAAAGTTTCATGCGCATTGAGATTATGCGAACAAGTACCCATATTGAACGTTTTGCAATCTTCTAATTTGACGTCATAATAGAATCTGTAAAAATAACCTCCTGAAATATACTTATATCCGAATTTTAACTTAAAATGAATCATTTAATTTTCGTTACGACAGCTTGAATCCGGGAGACATTTAAATAAGAACCAAACGAAATGAAATAAATTCTTTAAATATTTTATTTAATTTGACAAAACATTAAATAAAAAAATGTATCAAAGTTTAAAAATATTATGTTGTAGACATTGTTGTAATATTAATTTTAGTTTATTATGACGTAATCAACCAATTAATAATAAAAAGTCTTATAAAATATTTTTTACTAGCTTTCCGCCTGCAGCTTCGCCCGCGTATAGTTCGGTTATATCGCGTTTCCTAGAGAACCTTTCAAAAATCTGGGATACAAACTATCCTATATTCTTTCTCAAGGTCTATTCTACCTCTGTACCAAATTTCATTAAAATCAATTTAGTGGTTTAGGTGTGAAAGCGTAACAGACAGACAGACAGAGTTTCTTTCGCATTTTTAATATTAGTAGGGATATTGTAAATGGAACAAATATAACTAACACGAAATGGAAATCCAAGATATTGAATTAGGCAGAAAGCAGACAATTAAAAGCTCTATTTTGTAGATTATTAAGAGCGAAAACCTAAAAAAATATTATAATATATGGTAGGTACATAAATAAATATAAAGCTTAACTGTGAAACCCATTTAGATGACAACCAAATCATCAGCTAAGGGTTCAATTAAACTAAAACTTTCTCGATAACAAAGACAACAGAAATTAACCTGCCAAAGCTTTTTAAATGATGTTATTACTACTGTTTATGACATGTGAAGCTGGAATTTATAGACATTTAGATTTCTAGACTACGTGTTCTAGTTATAAAATACAATATTTTGACCATATATGTACATCTATTAAACTCATTTATTTCATTTCGTTTTGTTTATAAACAAATACACAAACTTTCAATACCCCAGTCATTATTTTTACCTACTGCTAGAACAGTAAGAAAAATACAGAGTTTAAAGGTTAGGAAATAAAATAAAAAAATCACAAAAACTAGCTTTGGTAGCTTCTTTCCACTTCCATCGCAGTCATGACCATTCGGTTGAAATTTACAAGTAATCGACGCGTCCAAGTTTTCGTAATCTACTCCTAGATATAAGAAAAATAAAAGTTAAGTTTTTACTGCAATTCAGTTTTTCTTTTCATATATTTGTAAATTTTTTTGCCAAGCGATTTATAATGCATTGATACATCTTATAGCCATAACGTTAAGACCAGCTAACTAGACGTATTTATATATTTTTCATTACAGATACATTTTTATTGTCTTCAAACTAAATTCTAAAGGGGTTAAATAGAATCAATTCATAAAAATATGAATATAATAAAAAAAGAAATAAGGCATCTATTTTAAAAACTTTATGTTACATTAAAAGTTATAAACTCTTACTGTCAGCTTCAGTAGTTGTTGTCACTGTAGTTGTTTCATCGTCATCTAGAGAAGCAAGAGGTAGGAGCAAAAGTAAATGAATACATTTAAAAAATGCTGTAAACATTTTGAATGTTCAGTGGAAAAAAAACTAGTAACAAAAATAATCGCGATTGCAATCGTACAGAATTATTGTTATTTTAATAACCATAGCAATTTTGCCCACAGCTAATGGAAATTGAAATTATATATGATATTAATTAGTCCTGCAATTTAAATGTGAGTTACCCCATGAGAAAATAAAAAAGGTAAATTTAATATGAAATAATTTCAAAGCATAATATATATATATATATATATATATATATATATATATATATATATATATATATATATATTTTATTTTTTTTAATCAAACTTTAATGTATCATTTATTAATGGAACAAATTATACATATCAGTAATGTTTTATAGATATACTATTTGACTCGACCAGCAGCATCAGCAATTTGTAGAATAGCATTGTCAAAGACTCGTTTTTCAAAATCAGGTGTTATTGATTTCTTCACTTGATCAATAATCCATTCTATCATCCACTTTTGTTGAATCCTGGCATTGGATTGGTAAAGTTTTACCTGGTAATCCATACGACCCTTGACAGATTTGTAAGCTTGCATTAATCTTTCTCTGTAAACAGCTTCAAGTTGCATTACTATATTTTCCTTTTTGGCGTCCATTAACACTTTCTGACCCTGTGCTCTCCATATAGCATCTTCAGCTTGTTTTATTTGCTGATCAAAAACATTTTTCTCCGCCTTTCTTACGTTTTCAATATTATTAACATAAGCATCAACTTGTTTGTCCAAATATTCTGCGAAAATCTTGCCAAAATTTGTCGTTGCATAACAAAATATAACAAAAATAGAAAGACCAACATAGTATTCGTGTTCCATAATAAAAATCTCTTTGCTTACTAAATAATTAGTTAGGCAAATACCAAAAATATACGGTCCAGTGACACCAGTCTTATTATGGAAAAACAAAAACCACTCCTCCGGAAAAATCGCTAATCTTACAGGACCAGATTTTAAGGCCCTTTTTATCGTGTCTTTTCCGGAATCTGAGCCTCTCTCCATAGCTTTCTTTTTCATATAGTTTACAGGACATGTTTCAGTATGTTTAAATATGAAGGTTGGTATTATAGAACTATTTCGATATCCTAACTTATTGATATAATTTAGTATCATAACTACTTTTCTGTAAGCTAACAGAATATTTAATTTTATTAAAATTCAGTTGAAATATGTGATTCTTAGATTTTGTCAATGTGACACTTATTTTTTGTCAATGTCACATGGGTTGTTAAAATCACTATGGAGGTTATTTGATAATTTTGTTTGAAACGTACACAAAATATGTCTAGAAACCGAATGTTATTAAGTCTCCAAATTTTATTTCAAATATAAAAAAATATTTATTACATAAATATCGTACATTATATTTTAAGTTTCATTTAGAAAATCGGTACAAACATAGCATCTGTGTGATATTGAAAAAAAAAACTACTAATCAATAATAAATTCTTACATAAATAAATTTATATGGTTGACTAGTTTTTGCCCGCGACTTCGTCCGCGTTAGTTTGGTCAAGAGTAATATATGTAGGTGTAGCTGACCAGGCGAACTCTATTCCGTCTTAGAGGCCATAAATAATCAGGTTTTTCCTGTTTCAATCAAACAGAATGATTGACATATTAGTTAGTTGTCAAATCTAATGTCAAAAAAAACGTTTGTATGAGAAATAGAAAAGGGCTGTTTTTATGGTTTTCCCGGCAATTATTCCAATTTTTCTCACCTTTTAAACCTTCCCTGGACTTTCAGGAGTATTTCAAGACTAAAATTAGCCCAATCGGTTCAGCCGTTCTCGAGTTTTAGCGAGACTAAGGAACAGCAATCCATTTTTATATATATATAGAAAATTAGTACAAAAAGTCTAGACTCCAGACTCTAGAGGGTTAATTTCGAACGAAACCTTAATAATATTGATTTAAGAAATACATGTGTTATTTCACAATAATGTAGTCAGAAAATTCAACTTATAATTTAAGCACCAAGTATAATCTAAGATTTTTTTCAAGTAGATTAAATTAATGATCAACCTTTATTCATAAAATATAACAAAACATGATAAGCCCACACTATTTCCCTACTTAAAGTTAATTTTGTTCCTGAACGTAAGGATAATAAACAAATAAAGGCAATTTCTAAATAATTTTTATTATTTTGCTTAAAATTATATAAAATACATTCATATATTGAGGATGACAAAATTATTTTTGAAAAATTATCATAACTATTGTTGAGGAAATCGAAAATAAATTTTAATATAGGTTCACTATAACTAGGATAATGAAATCTGTTATTTCTAGTAGATAGTTCCTGATAATATGACAATAATTAATAGTACAATATTTCATTATCTTATTTTAGTGATCGTATCTCGTAACTTATTTTAGTTAGAATTATTATACAATTTATACACGGTATTTTACAGCGCGCAGAATAGGATACTTGTCACCTGTACATAGGCCCCGGAAATCATCCATAGAGAGATCAGAAATTGAAACACCTCCAAGATTCTTTGATCTAGAAAGGAAATATATAATATATAGTTACCGACAATTATAAAGAAACCCCACCTGGGTTGTAATTGCTAATAGAAACTTACTTGGCATACACAGCCTTCTGCCCTGCAGTGTCGGGATCTTCATAGCTTACCCAAAAACCACCTTCACCATTGTCGTCGGGAACACGGAAAGCATAAGTTCCTAAAACAAATAAAATTCCAATAAATATTTTCTATACAAATTTGTTTACTTTATGGGTTGTTGTGCAGTTAATTGCGTGAGATACTAGACGAAGTATATACAATACATATTGAACTAATAAATAATATGCACGAATTATAATTCTAACGTAATAATTATACATTATTTACGGAAACCATCACCATAGCAGTATTAGAGCTTATACCATAGAGCAAAGTTAAATAGCTACAAAGCTTTTTATAAGTTACCAACCAAAAAAGTCGCCATCCTTCGTTAAGCCCATTTCTGAAAAGTCAAATGAAGCATCTAATTCCCAATATCTTGTGACAAGCAAATTTCTGGAGCTGGTTGCATTATTACTTAACTGTAAATAATTATTTCAATTCAGATCTTACCAAAACGCTTGCTTGGATCAGAGACCTTCCTTAAATGAGGACGCATACCCTTTTGATGGTTGGGATTAATGAGTTTAGCACAAACTTCGGGATAGCTCAACAATCCTTCGATTTTCGTGTAGGGACCTGTAAATAGTTATTATTGAAAAATTATTACGACATACCAAGATTTTTCTATGTAGACTGATAAACACAAAATAGTTACCAGCTTCCCCAGGTCCCTCGGCATGAATAGGTGGGACTCCAGAAATTTCACTGTCGGAGGTTAGTTTCCATGTACGGCCGTAGGTGGCGACACCCACAACGATTTTATAACTAGGAGCACCTGCTTGAAGCCTTAAATAAAAATAAAAATATCTTATATCTCTTCCTAAATTAAAACAAACTTTTATATGATAAAATCACTTAAACCCACAATACTTTATTTTTAAGGATAAATACCAGTAATTTACAGCGGCATCGACATTTAAAAGTTCATTGCGGCCTTGAGGTTTGTAAATAGGTGAAGTATAGTCAGCCTCCTTTGGATTCCTTTCTGGAGTGTAGTAGTTAAAAGCATTGATGTTCACAATGTCCACTAAGTTTATAATAGCAGGTACGTCGTAGTAGACTAAAATAAAAAGGAACTATTATAAATAAAAACTTAATATTCCTTTAATTAGCGAAATATTAAAATCAATTAATTATACAGGGAAAGAAAATAATCAACGTTATAAATAATAAATCATCTTACTGGTAGCGTTGACATTGGGAAGCACAGTGACCGACAATTGCATGTTTGGTTTCAGGTTGAGAGCAGCTTTCATTTCACGAACAAGAGCAGTGAAGCCTTCTCTGTGCTCCGCTTCTTTATCATCGACGGGGGTAGTGCCAAACGTTTTCTTTATTCCGTGCCAGATTGATCCTATTTAAGTAGAATAGCGAATTATGTAATCAATATTATATTTTTATAATGTGAAACCTTAATATAATTATTATAATTTGTTGAACTCCCTTAAAAACCCAGGTTGCTTAGTTTTCATCACAGTAATCACTAATGCGCAGTATAAATAATGAGATATTTTCATTTAGTCGAGGATGAAAACTTATAGTATTACTTTTATGAAAACAAATACTTATTTCAATTATTTTTTGTAAATATTTTTTTATAGTAATTAGTTGTAAGCTTTAATTTAGATACTAACATGAGATTAGTTATGAACTTACCCCAAGTAGAGCGGATCTTTTTGGGTTTGATTCTAGCAAACTGCCAAGCAAGATCAATGCCATCAAAGCCGTGCTGCTCTGCCAAGAGTACACCAGAGTTTACGAAAGCTGTACGGGCTTGTGGAGACTCCAGCTATAACGAATTTAATTTGAAAATTAATATGATTTATTTGTTTATTGAACTCGTATGTCCTAATAAAAATTGTTTTTAAAATTACCAGTAAATTGTACTTCTGTTCTTCCTCTGTGTCGGCATCACCACCCACTGAGAGCAAGACCTTAAGTCCAGGGTATTTGGTCTTAAAGTTGGTGATAGCACGATAGTTGGCGTGGTTGCGGTCAATGTCTAAGTTCTCATTGAGTGAGACCATTTTATAGGTGTCAGGTTGAATTCCTGCATATCCGTATACCAGGTGAGTGCAGAACGACAGAGCTGGATCCAGGTCCAATGGCAGCATACGTGCTTGAGCTGGATAAATGCATCCCTTGACTGTATTAGTGTGTTATGAATATAACAAAATAATTCAGTACAAGCTTAAGTAATATAAGAACAGTTGGGCAGTCAGTCTAAAATAAAATTCAAACCTATCTTTAAAAATTTATAGAACTTTGATTTACGAAATAAAAAAATTAAAATTTTATCTTTTTTTATAATTAAAACTTTTAATTTAATAAACAAATCAAATATTGAATAAATGTTTTTATTTGTTTTGTACTATAATTTAGTTCAATTATTTATACCACAGTAAAATACATATATAGAACGCAAGACAAATTTATTGAACGTAGGCGTTTCATCCCGTAAACTAATTTATTCACACATTAACCACTTAGAATTCAGTAATCAGAAAGATAACATCTGTTTATGGATTATCTACCTTATAACAAGTGTACTAAGGCCATTTCTTATAAAATGTAATACTGTGACGCAACCGCAACAAAGTAAGAGATTACCTATGGGTCAATGACGAACATTGCACACTTTCCTCCATATTAGCAAATCTCTGATGGATATTATTCGTTGTAGTATAACACATAACCAAAATAACATGTTACTTGGATTGTATTTTTTATTTTGAAATTAATAAATCAATTTTATTTAATTTCAGAAATTGTTTAATATTCTTAAAAAATGCTCGTTAAATTCACTATAAAAAATGTCTGGTGGTTTAAATTCCATCTGATACTGTGACTAAAGAGTTAAACAATAGAACATTTTTAGATAAAGAGCAAAGATTATTTAGTAATAATAATAATAAAACCAAATCTTTAAGTTCTTTACGTAATATTAATTTTACAACAAATAAAGTCTGTCAATTAATACATAGATCAAATAAAACGAAGATTATTTGTCTTTATACAGTAGGTTTATTTGTCTTTAATTATATAACTTAGTTACTGGGATTAATCAAATACGGATCATGATTGGTTATAATCTAATTAAATAAAATATTTTAACTTAACATTTTATTAGCAAATCATTATCATTATATACACAACTTTTTTTTAACCATACCACCTTACAATAAATTTGGCAAATAATAAAAGGCATAGAATTTAGTAAATACTTTTAATTAAAGAATAATGTTGTTTGTCAACTTTATCTCTGACATTCGATATTCAGGTCACGTCTCATTCTTATAATCGTCATAAATTATCTTTGGCATTGTTACTAATTAGAAATTACAGTCTTATCGTAAAAGGTCAAATCCTGTAAACAACGTCAGTATATAACAACGTATACTAAAAACACATTACGTAACGGCCGATCTAAAGTTACAAAGATGGAATAAAAATGAGGTTAAAAGAATAAATGTAAATCAAATATACTCCGAGAACGTTCGATAGAGTGAATATGATATGATGAATGGAAAAAATATGTTACTTGGAATCAATATTCATTACGCAAGAGATATTAAGTTATGCTATCATAATACTAATTTTAGGAAACAGTTGGAATGGAGTAATAAAAAGATTAATTACTAATGTATATTAATATTACTTTCAAAAGATGATAAAAACTTGTTATAAGAGTACAAAAAACTACAAAAAGAAAATTAAATCTCCTGTCGTTAGATATATAATCACGAATTATTTGTGTTGTTCTCATAGTACTTTCTTTATTAATCTTACCTAGGTAAACAGGAGATAAGGTGTTATAACCATTTTTGTGAAACTCCACTATATTTTTGAAACTGAGAATTTTATATCAACCGATGCAAATTAATTTCGATAAATGATTAAAATTATTACTTATTATTATTACAATTATTACTTACTTACTCAAAGATTTTAAATCTTAAATTTTTTTACGATTCTGTTATATAAGAATTTATTTATAATCCCAAATCGTTATATTATCTATACATATAATAAAATTGTAGAAAAGTGCTGTCTCTACATTAAAAATAAAAATAAAAAAAAATAGCAGGGGTTATTGTTATGTCAATGTCGAACAAAAAAAAATAAAATCAACTTTTTTTTTGTCTGTGTGTCTGTTCACGCTAATCTCAGAAACGGCTGATCCGAGTTGGATGTGGTTTTCACGAATATATTGTGGTATGCTTCAGTTATGCTTTAGTGTTTGTTTCATGTCAATCGGTTCATAAATAAAAAAGTTATGTCAAAAAAACGCTGCTCATAGTCACTATTCCACGCGAACGAAGTCGCGGGCACAGCTAGTTCCTAATAAAAATAATATATACATATTTGATTTGCAATATACAAATAGATAATTTAACATAAATTATTTACCTTGTAATGTGAAATGTGATCAACTACAAAGGTCATAGGAAACTTAATGACGTGTATTACGTAATTCAGTCAATACACGGTAAGATAACACATATTACTATATAGAGATTAGACTAGTTTAAAATTATACTCACCATAGAGATGATATAACTAGCAAACCATTAGAAGACAAAACAGTACATAAGTACCTACATATTTTATTGTTTGCTTTCACTAACAAATATTTTCTACTACTCCAAGATCTAAAAAAAATATTTAATTTCAATTTACATACGAACTTATCCAATTATTAGTTTACACGAATTATTTCACATAAAAGCGTGAGGTAATTATCACCATTATTAAAAACAAAAGATAATTCATTACTTATGAAAAAAAGCCTGTAAAAAAATTGCTATATTTAGTTTGTATTTATTCTACCAATAAATTTTAAATAACCTATTTAGTATCTAATAAAAAAACGAACATGGCTAACTTGCAAATTTAACTCTACTTTTGGTAAACTATTTTACCTATCAGACTCATTAATAGTTAGTTTGTCTTATACTAATAAATTAAAAGTAGCTAAATAGTTAACATTTCGTGTTAAAACCATAAGATAAAATATTTTCTTTTATTTGGGCTCACGACATTATTTAAAATAAATGAATTTCGCTAAATGAAATGTCTTCTATACCTATCTATTTTATAACAAAATAAAAAAATGAGCATATATTTGATATTGACAGATGCATATGTAGAAAGATAAATAATAAAAATTATAGTGTTCTTAAAGTATATACTCGTATATATCAAAATCGTTTCCTTTTCCTCGGAGAAAGCTTTTATCCTAATATTACATGAATGAAGAAATTAAAAAGCATTGCATCAATAAAAAAACATGAAACTTACATACAAAAATGAATATATGCTCAAAGAATGTTCTTGAATACCATGAACGAATTTTTAGAATTAGTATTAGGATAGATTACTTTCATTCAAATAAAATTATGATTTGCTGTTTATACTTCACGTCTTTATTATTTTAATAATCGGAGGTAGATGAAATAAAAGTATGCTAACTAACAGACACTTTCATTTCATCTACTCGTAGTCACGGTAACAGCCACGAAGTCGAAACGTCAAAATAATCTAATTTATAAAATTCTAATTTATAACGATTTTCGTGATCCTTATCGAGGATACTAACCAGGGGGAGAATCGACCAACATCTATTTTTCATCCCCCTAAATGTTAAGGGTAGTCCACCCCTAAATTTTTGTTTTTATTTTTTAGGCAAAATTTTTTGTTTTTATTTTTTTATGACACAGCCTACAAAAATACATACAACCCTAAATTTTCGCCCCTCTGAGATCAACCCTTATTTTTTATTTGTTAATAAAAACTTTAATTTTTTGGCAATTTTTTTTTTATTTTTTGATGACTTACAATAAAAAATCTCATATTACTCAAAATTTTTCACCCCTCTACGATCAACCCCTATTTTTTATAAACATATATTTTTTAAACATATATTTCTTGATTATAAGGCGGTACGAAGTTCGCCGGGACAGCTAGTATTTAAATAAAATCAAAAAATCTTTCGTTATTTCTGATACTATAACCACTAAACATTCTTAGATATCATTGTGAATTTTATGTTTCATTAGTTGATTATCGCCGTATTATAAAATTTATAGTTTTTCTTAATCTTTAAATGGTTTAAAATCTTTAAAAAAATTTTTTTCATCAAAAATAAAACAAAAGTGTATAATATAACAGGGCCACCATTTTGGATCGTCAGCCATATTGGATATAGAACTGTACCATAGTGCAAACTAAATTCCTTAGTAAATTTTTATCTGAACTGGGTTAGATAACTGCTTTGATATTCAGTTGCAAAATTTGATCCGAACACATTCACTTTAATAAAACACACATATATACAAATATACATACATATGTATATACATATATACACACAAACAAACCTCGTTAAATATACATAGACATCTAAAAAATAAAGAAAAGCATTAAATATTTTCTATACGCGGAAGTTAATTGAATGTTTATATTTTTTGCTAATGCAAATCTATTTGCCTAACCTTCACAAATAACCAATCTATACCTAAAGCATTTACATTCGACCTTATTTTTTTTTTATTTGTGGCACAGAATTAAAAGCGAAACTAAACATTTTACTACATATGTTCTATTTATATATCAATTCTATTTAGTCACTTATATTCTCTCAGCGTACTCATGACCATGAAAACAAATAAGGTCTTCCTTATATAACAGATAAAGGAAAATATATATGCAAACAATAAACGTATCATTGATAATTGATATAAAACATTTTGCAATATTCGTTACATGTCTATTTGTGTATCATTCACATTTAAAGTTTTACTTAACTAATTCATTTAGTTGTTATTTCCAATATAAAGTTGTTCTGGTGGATAAGTTAAATATATATGAAATATATTGTTGCAGCTATTTGTAGGTATAAACGACTAACAATATTATATTTTGTAGGGTAGTACAATATATTTATATGCAAGCATCTAAGTAAAATACACTAACACTTAAATGGTTATGATTATTGGAATAAATTATTAATTTTATTTAATATATATTCGTTATATTTCTATAAGTTTTAATCATAAGTGCTTTGATATACTATTTTTTCTATTCCCTTCGATAAATTCCCACGAACGGAAATTTAAAATTTCCATCTCCATACGCAACAATGAGATTAATCGTGAAGACCTACATACATAAGTCTGAAATGTCAAAATGTCCTACTTACAATTTGACACTTAAAACAAATTCTTATTTTCATCTTAGCCCAATTTCTTTAGATAGAAGTTAAGTAGTCCAATTTTTTTTCTGTAAATCAATTTGAATCGAGCTTTTACATGTTCATCGTTCTTTAATACATATATTCAAATCAAACAGTAATGAAAATCTTTGATAACGAAACTCTTATATCGATAATTTTCTTTGTTTCTTGGCTACTTGTCTATAAAAATCTTATCAAATAGAAACAGGTTTGCCGAAGACCGTTGAAAATCAAATTTAAAAAAGTTTATACATTATCTAAAAAATGACAGAATGTTCCAGAAGTCTTTTACATTAAGAAATACTGTAATACATATATGTTTCAAATAACTATTTTAAAAGAAGTTCAATTGATTACACAATGCTATAATGTTTTTATAACAGCTATTATTAAAAAATGCCGTGAATTAAAAATCGCTTGTAGAATCGCTGAGCAAATTATACATTTAATTTAATTTGAAATTGTTACTCAAACGTTATAATTTCATTTAAGTACTGTCATCATCAACATATTTACTTACATTCTCGTACGTAGCTCTTGCTGTCGTAATAGCAGACAACCTTGCTGGGCGGGACGGCTGGCGTGGCAACCGCCGCTGCCAGCAGAGCAACCAGAGCAACCAGGACTTTCATGTTCACGTCTGATTACCACTAGGTTCGTGTGGCGAATGAATCGTTATACTCACCAAGCGGCGAAGATGACCGCGGGCAAGAAGGTCAAAGATTATTTGAACACAACTGTTGTTTATTTTCGATATAGGTAATCGTTTCAAATGAACGCCAGGTCAGAAGTCAAAAGCGTATATCGTTTTGTAGTCAGAAAAAGTACTCATTTAACTTTACATTTCATTTGAACATGTAAAATTCTTTATAATTTTACTTTATACTTCGAGTAATTTTTATAGTGTACATAGTAAATTTTGCTTCAGGTATAAAACAGATAAAATAAACCTTACAATATTGTAAGGCTTAAAGTCGGGAGATACAATCTTACAATAAATAGACATAATATTAAAACCCCACAGTCTGATTAACATTTAGTCTATGATCATATACTGGTAAATGATGTCATCACCAATCAAACTCCTGATATTTTTTTAAAGGTACACTCATCTCTCTCGATAAACTGTTTATATAGAACAATCTACGACTCTTTGTTATATATCTCACCTTTGTCCGTTATTCTTAATTAACAAGATTATGATTTTATGGTACTGATGATATCGGTGTTTTTATATTTACCCTCGATTGTAGAATATGACAATAATAATAAGCAACTACGAAATTTTAAAGTTTATACAACGATTTGAAGGCTACTACACCTCCACAGCAATTACCGTAATTCTTTTGTGCCTGTGACTTTACGTCTGTTGTGTGGGTGAGACATAAGTCTTGCGTATTATTTACAAATTACAATAAATATAGTTATTCATTTAAACAATTATGGTTTAAATAATGTTATAGTTAAATTATGGTTTAAATTATTATGAAAAGTAATTAGGGTATTCTTTTTTATAATATTTTACCTGGTAAAGTTCGAATAAATTTAATATACTTAATTTCAACCAAGTTTGATTTGTTGTTTTTAAACACTGTATTTAAAAAAAAAAACGAATATCATTTGAAACTTGAAACTATCATCTGGTTATTGATAAGATCAACAAGATCTACCTACTTTAATATTAATGACACGAGAAATTTGAACAAATTTAATAAAATAAAGGTTTTGTTGCTAATAAAACTGTGTTTATGTTTTGCTCTCAATATCGTTAGTAAGTATTAGTTTTAAAATAATGATATCTTTCTTTTGTATGAATATAAATCAAAGTAGTATCGAAGACCATATGAATTTTATCATCAGAATGAAAAGATTTTCTTTAAATATAGAGTACTTTGTTATCCGAATTGATATGAATAAACGTAATTTTAACGGCCATTGTTTGCAAAAGTGATCGACGATTTAACTATTCAACCGTAATATTAACAAGTTACCATTCAATACTTTTTTTTCAATTGATAGCTTTAAATTATATATATAATAATGCTTAAGAGATTTTAGGTTTTTCTTAAATTGTCTAAGTTAATGCTGCTGACCTCCGAAACCGGTTTAAGGCTAACTGGTGACTTAAGATAATAATAAAATCTTCTGAGCGAAGGATTATTATTTCAATCATGTATCGTATCAGTATTTATTCCTACCAACACATTGTTAGTGTGAATTTATTTCATAAAGCTTAAGTGTATAAATGTCGATAATAAAAAAATTCCTTGAGTTTCAGATATCCGAATAGGATTAACTTTTTGTGAGTATTAGATAAGTATTAGCTATTTAACATTAATGCCATTCCACTTCCAATTTAATGTAATAAAATTCTTTTTTAATTACTTTTAGATATAAAATTCTATACAGATCGTATCCATATAACCTCCAATGATTGAATAATTAAAATATAACAATAATTAATCATAACGCTGTCGTTCCCTATTTTTGGACGTGAAATCCTAATTCTTCGTAGATATTAAGTGTCTGCAATCCAAACAGAAACTAGTATTGTTTGCTAATATGAATATAAACATAAATTCGCGTCATCAAAATTTTAGCTCAAGCCAACTTATAGTCAAATAATATTTAAAAAGTTTCCGTGAATTTTATATTCAGTTGATTTTCTACGACTATCGTTTTCAGTATATGGTAATTTTATCATTTCCTTTAATTATTTAAGAGTTATATAGACTAACAAGATCCTTCTTGTTAGCCCATATAACTTTTAACACAATTTTAATGAAAAATATATGTAATCTACAACGAAGACTACGTATTTTCATGATTCTAGGAGGGCTATGTCATAATACTTCTTACTTCTAACCAACATATTAATTTAAGAACTTATAACTACTGAAACTAAAAATATGAACTAAGTTGACATAAATATGTATTAAATACATTTTTTCGGAAGACATAGTAACTAAGTAGACTTTAAATTAAATTCGTTCTTTCTTTTTATTTCAAACTCAGCAAATAATACCCTAATACTTTATTTTTTATTTATTAGTCAAAATAATTTTATTATACGATATCACTTATAGGGGCTTACAAATGTTGGATGTATTAATTGCTAAAAGATAAACATAGTTGCGTTAATGACATAAAAATAGCGGGCATGAGGGTATTCAAAATTAATATATAAAATAATATGTAGGTATATTGAAAGTGTTTCAGAATATTGATTTTTAAGCGTATGATAGATACTTTGTTGGAACCTCAGTTGGACCCGTTATCAATTTAAAATTTAATTTAATATTAAGTATTCATTACAACATAAAATTTAACTATGTATCCTCAATCCACATTATTCTGTCAAAATTCTTAAGATATTGAAAATATTTTCAGAAGCTATTCTAACAAATATGTCTATTAAAATTTAATATTTATCTACGTTTCTGATCTGTGTTAAAGCTATGTAAAAAGTATATTGTCCTAAAGTAAGACTTTATCAACAGGCAAGCGTAATGCACCAAAACATAAGTGGTTACAATAAAAAAATCCCCTTTCTTTTTTGTAAGTTTTAGCTATCATTTTCACAAGTACCTACAACTTGTAGAATATAAAAAAATTTCAAGAACAATATTGCAGACGGCACAATTTCTTCCTTGAAGAGGACGATTGATTTGAATTGAATGGAATGAATACAAACGATTTTTTATACAAAGACAGATGTCCTTTGAAATGTTAGCTATTACTGACGTTGCTTTTTTTGTCAGTTCACTTTTATTATCAGCGTATTCGGATATTGTCTTGGAAATAAGAGTAAATTAAATTAAATAGTATTACATTAAACTACCTACTTCTTCAATTTCATTACAGACAACTACAACCAAAAAAGTATATTTACACTAATATAATAATTTAATGACTTTATTAATGCCTTTCTTCGTATCTTCTACAAAATATATACTAAAGTTGTGAAGAATTGTTTTTCATATTACTCTTTACTGTCTTTGTAGTCACGGATATTCTCCACATCAACTAGTATCTGGAATCGAGCCACTTTTTTATATTGTGATCTTTATTTCAGGCACTTGCAAGATTAATAACAGATCGTGTACAGTCCTTTAAACCTAGAATATAGAACTATAATAGTGGAACTTAGAAAAGTCGAGAGAAACTTATTCTTAGGATAATGATTCAGTTTCCAAAAGCGACAGTTTCTTGAGCTGGCCCGAGGCATTAAAACATAAGCAATTAGGCATAGTTACGTATCTCTATAACGAATAGAAAATAAAGTAAAAAATATGTACAGTTTAGGCCCTGCGAGTCAAATTTTATTGAGTTATCGATAATTAATGTTCGAACATTTGAGAAGATACAATAAGACTATGAACAATGTAAACTATGTAAGAGGGAAGAAATATCTGGAGAAGAAAATTTGACAAATTTTAAACGTATTTGTAAATAGAGAAGTTATGAGCGAAAGGAAGTATATCTTAATAGACACAATTGTGTTATAAATCTTTTATAAATCGGTTCAAATACAACACCGTTATCAGACGTAGGTACGACTCATACACTTTGCACAAGGTAATGACTAAGACGGTGATGCAAACAAGTTAACACAGCTTGGCCATTGTTGTATGCTATACACAATCATGTTATAAACATAATATGATTATGTACTTTTCCTGTTTTTATTTTCCTTTTGCCATTTCGTCGATTTCATATTTGTTTGTTAATTTGGGTCAAATAAAATAATCAAATAAAATAATAATAATAAAAAAAAATTCAATTTTAAACATTTTAAACAGCTATCAAAATTAACTACTGCCACAATAAAAATACCTTTAATATTGAATAAACGGAGACGTATGAGATAGAAATAATTTTCCTTGTGCCGTCTTGTATATTTCTTTCGTATGTATTTACATGAGTAATTAGTCACAATTACTTATATAGGACAAATATATTACAGGTAACTACCTCATTAACAAAACAAAAGAGTTTTATGGTTCCCTAGTGACATATGAATTCTGAACTCGGCTTCGTATAATGATATCCATACATACAAAAAACTTAAAGTGAAGCATATATGTATCATTATTATTATTTAAAGATCAATATTGTTGGTCTTGTAATGGACTGTTTAAATTGTTGAGCTCAGGGGAATCATTTATATAAGATAATGTTATCAATAGAATAAACATCACAACACATTGTTAATTTGTTGTTGTAACAAACATGTTTCTAAAAATATGATCAAATTAAGGAATGAAATATACGTAGATGAAGAAAATAATTTTACCAGATCACATGAATTGTAAATAGTTGTAATAGTTAAGTATAAGTTGTTAGTATGTAAATAGTTGTATTATACGATATTAAAACTGTGATACCAAAAAGAAGCTAAGAGCTTCAAATGAGTTCGTTTATCTAGTAACAATAAAGTTTTCCCATAATCAATATTAACTTAAGGCTATCTCATTTCAATGTAACTTGTTCTAAGAACTGTTTTGAATAATAAAACAAACAGCCATATCAATGCTCCATACGCACACAGCAATTTTATCGCTTATTTCAAATATTCGAATTTCATTTTACGAATGACCTTTAACTATAAATAACAATTTAAAGACACAAAGAAATTAACTATCTTGTTATTTATTATATTTTTAAATTCATTAGTACATTCAACTCAAATAAATGAGAGATATGAATTCATTGCCTAAGATTAACAGTAGCAGAAATACAGAAGAAAATTTTTTTGGTGTTTCAAATATTTAAGTTAATTGTGTACAAAAAAGGGCAAACTTTAATATATATGAATTATATTATACTCTTATTTATATTCTTTGTATACAACAAAGTTTTTAAGATAAAGAAAATTAATAAATTTTGTTTGAAAACCATGGTTGCAACGTCATTATACCCGCTCAGTTTGTGAGCTTTGAGTGAGCTGTGAGTTGGTGTTATGTTTTATGAATTTGTAAAATTTATTTATTTTTCTATTTTAAATTATGTATTAGTAAATACTTAAGTGGCTCAATCATGTACCAACTATAATATGTACACATATTATGAAATAATTATTGTTTCCATTTTGACAAAGGAAGTGTCTTATAATTTCATACCGAACGCATCACTAAGGCGACTATGTTAATGGTATTATAATTAATGTTTTAGAATTAGAATTTTACATTCAAAATCGTATGAAAATCAATCCCTCTTAATATAAATATGTATATATTAAAAATTACATATTAAATAAAGTTCAAGGCACCATTATCTCATTCCAAACATTGAATTTATATTAAGGTACATCATATTTTTACCATTTTCGTTATTTTTACTATCTATGAGAACCTTTCCCCTTTTTACCTAATGAAGTCACCACCGACAATACTTGCTCCACATCCCACATATAATAAATTTGTATCAATAAATTGATCCTCTGTAAAAGTAAAATAGAAATTGCTATTTGATGTCTCTACGTAAAAAGTCGGATTATTATAAAAAAGAAAAAAAAGAGAATCCAACAGACGTTTGTGATCAAAGCACCTCTAAAGGTGTTTCCTATTAGAGGCACACAGCCATTAATAAACTGAATTCTGCATATATTTTTATAAATCCATTCCTTATTTTAATATGAAATTGTTCATTGGATGAAGTTACAACAAAAGAGAATTTCTCTCCAAGAACTAATTTTTTTTATTATATACATATTTTCAAAATTTGTCTCAATTAAGATATGTTTTATTTGAAATTTCACCACCATCATCATCAGCCTATTGGTGCCTTCCGCTGAGCAAAAGGGAACTAGTAGGCATTAGAGCATTAATCACAACGCTTGTTCAAAGGGGTTTGATGAGTCTTAACTTATAATTCAGTAATATTTTATCACCACACTTTCTTAATAACAAAATGTTCAAGAAAAAAGTAAAATAAAAGGCTATTATTAGTGACACTTAATTGTTTATATCTAAAAATCTCAATACAATACAGTAGTAATAAAGTCGATTTATTTATTAATTTTGGCAACCTTTGACAACCTCTAAACAACCACTCAATACACGGTTTTATAATTTTGAATTGTGATATAAATATAAAATCTTATGAAGGGAATAAATAAGCACTTCCCGCATTATTTTTACAAAGTACATAATATAATAGAATTAAAATAATTATAGCAGCTAAAATCTAATTTCATGAATAGACATCAAATTACTTAGTGCTGTATTCCGCTAGGATTTTGAGCAGGGGGTGATTGTTGTGAACCTTGAGCTTGGCCTTGCTCTAGAACTGGTGGTACTTGACCTTGAGAGGCTTGTTGTTGAACTTGACCTTGAGGAACTTGTTGCTGAGGTTGACCTGGTTGAACTTGTGGTTGCACTTGAGCTTGGGGAATTTGTTGATTAGCTTGGCCGGGTGCTGCTTGTCCCTGTGGTGCTTGTGGAGGACCTGGTGCTTGCTGGACTTTACTTTGAGGAATCTGTCCTGCGGGCGCTTGTCCTTGATATTGTCCTTGAGGTACTTGACCTTGGTACTGTCCTTGTGGGATTTGTCCCTGATATTGCGGAACTTGCCCTTGATATTGACCTTGTGGAACTTGTCCCTGATATTGACTTTGTGGAACTTGTCCCTGATATTGTCCTTGGGATACTTGACCTTGGTACTGTCCTTGTGGTACGTGTCCCTGGTATTGCGGCGGATACTGTCCTTGAGGGTATTGCTGCATCGGTTGGCCTTGATGGTACTGTTGCTGGTATTGCTGCTGCATCTGGTGGTATGCCTGATTTATTTGATGCTGTGCACCAGGAATGGGCCGGCCATGAGCATCAACCTGAAATTAAATACAATAAATTTGATGAAACCAAATAAGCAATAAGCACTCGCAATAACCGAAGCCTACAATTTTGAAAACTGCTTAACATTGAAAGATTTCCAATCTAATAATTAACTTATTAATATATGTAATTTATACTTTCTAAGACTACTAACCAGTCCGCGTTGTTGTAAGTAATGCAGTTCTTCCTGTCGTCGGCGTTCATAAGCTTCGTATTCAGCCTGAGTATAAATCTGGTTCTCGTCGATTGGTTTCCAACCTGTAGATACAAAAGATTTGAACAAATACATAGTATAAAATTATAGTAATGATTTCATTTGTTATATATCAAGGATTCAATTCCTATGTTCAACTAAATTAAAAAATGAAATAGACCAAAAGCTAATAAACATAATGACCCCATACTGTCGAAGAACTAGATCTGACATCACCTCGCCCCTAATAAACCCAAACATTACCGCCAGACCCTATCTCATCTCATATAATATGCTCAGGTCTTAAACATAATGTAACTCACCATCGTCCTGATTGAATTCAGCTCGCTGAGTCTCGAGCATGAATTCATTGAAATCTATAAGACCATCATGGTTTTTATCGTTTTCTTTGAACACGTGCTCTCTCATGCGTTCCATTTCTTCAGCTCGTTCGTGGAGGTCTTTATTCGGACCCCCCGGACCGTACATCTTATCCAGTTCCTTTATAAACAGAGCCTTAACTTCGTCCGCATCCCAGAAACCATTACCGTCCACATCTGTTGTATCCATAATAATTTTTTAATGTAATAAACAGCAGATTAAAATATATGTACATGTATAAAAAAACTATTTGATATCTTAAAATACTTTACTTAACAAAATACATAATGGAAATGTTGAAATTATAAAATGGATTTCTATTTAATGTATACGAAAAAATAAAATACATATTATTTATTTATCGTCATATAAAGTATTACGAAAATTCATAGCAGTAAAATCAAACATATTCATGATATGTATCGTTTTATAAACATTTATTTTCATACTAAATTCATACGTAGTTGTTTTTACTCAGAAATATTTTTTTTGTTAGAAACATGTGTGTACATTGTTTATTTCAGAAAAACGAGAATACAATACGTTTGACATGGGAACTACAATGTATAGAGAACAGAAGAAAACGAACAAAATAAAGCTATAAAAACAAGTTCCTTTATTTTTATATGTATTCATATTTTTGTATAATATTTTTATGGTCACGGTACTTTTTATTTTTTGTAGGCATTGTGAAATTTTTGAATGCAAAAAAGTGCTTGTTTTAACGTCATATCATAAATTCAATCTTAGGATCACCATGTACCGTAAACAAATAATATAATAATTATTAATTATAAAAAAAATCAAACATAGGTTATCTGATTACTAAATAATTTTAATTACAGTTATATATAGAACAAGAATGTTATTTTTCTTTTTTCATGTTAGTTATTATTCAACTGTTGTTCTCTAAATTGTGATAATAAGTAAACTTTTTATAAATTTAAGCCGAATTTTTAGAAGATTACGGGTGTTTTTTTTGAATTTTTAGAAGATGGAATACTGAGTTGTGAACTGATAAAAAACAACTCCTATTGAGAGAATACAGCTATGCATTGCCAAAATTAAGTCTAAAATATATTTATTATATGATAAAAATCATACATAAAAAAAAACGACAAACAAATATATGCAGATGATTCTCTAAGACACTACGCTACCTACATGACATCCCTTACCATGCATCACGAAAAAGACCTTCGGATCAAAATCCTTATCTGTATTCACATCCCGCCATAGATTGAGCAATTGCTCTCGGGTCCCCGGATGTTTGAGCTGTCACAGAAGAATTATTAAATACTTGTTGCTCATTAACTCACCATGGGTCATGAAGAATGTTTTCGGGTCAAATTGTTGGTCCATGTGGTCCTGTTTCTCCCACACCTCCTCTAACTGTTGTTTAGAACCCGGGTGATGTAGCTGTGTGTAAATACGTAGTTTTTTCTTGCTCAATACAGTTGCATGTATATTTAACGGATTTATAATACTCAAGTTATTCCTTCGTTTATTTATAGATTAGAAGCTGTATTATTACTCAAAAGACATGACCCATTTATACATATTTAATGAAACGTTAATTTGTTTTTGGGGAAATAAAAAAGAATTATTAATAATCCGAGAAGAATCTGTTTAACCTAAAGTCATTTATCAAACACCAGGTTCTTCCCATTTTATTAATCTCATATTTCCAAGTATCTGTTTGTTTGTCCCAGCAGTTATATCTTTATAATACAGATGCCACTTTTATGTAAATATGTTTGTAATATATAACCTACCTATTTATTGAGAATATTCCCTTCGTATTATAAGATGCATATCTTTCTTTACTTTGTAATAAAGTAATTTAGTCCATTTATATAAAATTATAACTATTTCTCGTTATAATCCATAAAATATTATTTAATATTTTAATCAAATTTTGCTTTTTATAGAAGAGTTTATGTAAAAAATTGTTTGAAACGTTGTCGAATTGACAAAAAAATTTTACTAACTAACTTAAGCATTGTTGTTTATGAAAAATTTAAGTGATTTAAAAAAATTGTCTGTAGATGATGGTTATAGAAAAGTTCAACTCTTAAACTACCAAATTCCTTCAATCAAACAAGAACTATCAACAAATTATATGTGTCTCATTCCTATTGTTAAATTCATGTATATGTATAAAGTTTTTATATATATCATAAGTTTGATATGAAATGATATATATGAAAATTTACAAGTAATGTATAATTGTCTATGATACTATACTATAGGCTGGAACTATATCTCCTGTTAATTTTACCTCTCCATTATCAAACTGTAAGAGTTTTGTTTGAGAAACATACAAACAGACAAAGTATCAATGGGACAATGCCTTTACTGCTATTAGCTTCCTTCTTTATCCTATTTTTATACATTAAACATATCTACATTTAATGCTTGATGTATCATTACGACATACTTTCCTATTTATATCAAAATATAATTTTAAACAGAATCAACATATATGGCCTTTAGTAAAACGATCGAATACATATTGTTTAAGAACATACCGGTTTGTGATGTTTCTTAGCTTCCTCCTCCTGTTTCAATTTGTCCATGTATTCCTTCTTGTGAGCCTCATCAAGTGCTTCAATCTTCTGATGTTTCTCATATTCCTTCTGCATTTCATATTCCTGGAATTTTACACAGTTATGTTAGTGTTTATTTGGTACATGTACTGTAGCTGTCTCTGGCTATATTTTTAATATTGTACTGGTAATAGTCACCTTAAACTGTTCCCGTCTCTTCTTATCAGCAGCTTCAAGATCAGCCGTCGTCTTGTATATTAATTTCTTGAGATCTTCTATTTCGAAGGTGTGTGGATTTGAATGGTCCAAGTGGTCACTGGATGGAACTTTGCCTTCAGCTTCCAGATTGTTTGACAGCTCGTATTGCTGTTAGGACGATTTGCAAAAAAGATAAGGTATTATTAGTACTTTTCAAATGAATCGTTACAATGAAAGTTCTATTTTATTTCACTGCGTGAATCCAAGTTCTAATTTCATATTTTATGTGTGATATATTTGTCATTTCACTCTTTTCTCTTTATGAAATTTTCAAAAGTAAATTTACTAATCTAAATTTTATTTTGTTGACTTTTTTTTTGACAGGTCATGTACCGCGAAGTTTGTTATCCACATTTTTATCAGTGTTGTAGTGTTGTGAGTAGATTTTAAATTCCTGAGAAACTTATCAATTATTATACATTCTTAACTATAATATTTTAAATATAATTTGAGGCTCCTAAAGAGATTGCGTTTCCGAAATCCTTGTCTCGGATAACGCTAATCTTCTTGTAATAATTGTCATAAAGTTCTTGTAATGTCTAAATTTCTTTATGTTTAACATTCATCAATTTTCTTATTATATTATTATTTATTTCGGTTTTGTTTTATTTTATTAGCATAAGCATAACAATCTTAAAATTTCCTTGCACAATTTTTAAAAAAATGCAGACGTTATTTGGCCAAGTCAATAAAAACTTAAAAAGACATCATTTCTTCTTTCGGTGAACACGGTTGCTAAGAAACCGAATAAGGCGATAATGCAGTTATTATAAAAGAACTAATAGTATCCCACAAAGTTAGTTTCATTTAAATGAGTACGCGAGAAAACATTAGATATCATTATAAATAATATCCTTTTTGTTTATAAGATTTGGAATCTAGCACGATACCAAAATTTTATTATTGATTGCATGTAATAGAGAATTGTTCTTTAAGTGAACTCGATTACGCATATAAATTCATCCGTAATTTCAAACTAGTGTATAAGATACATAGTTAAATAAAAATGATTGGCACAGGACGCTGTGAGGACTGAGGTCACGAGTCGTTTATATTCACGATAGTGTCAGAAATAACTAAGACCTCGACACATCTGAGTCAGAGCGGGAAAATTTAATACACTTCAACAATACAGAATACTACATACAAAAATAGAAAAAAATTTAAGATCATCAAAGAAAAAATATAAAACGAATATCAAACTAGGAAACATCAAATCCATGTAGTGGAAAGTACTAAATGTCCCCAAATAAAAAAGAATAATTCCTTCATTTCTTTACGCTTTAGTCGGATATTGCGTCATTCCTAAGAATTATTTATAGGTATTTCATTAGTCTTCAAAACGGATTCTGACACATTTCTCGTTTTGTTTTGTCTTTTCTACAGACTTGATATTTTAATAATTTTATTTTAGTCACATACCTTGGTCGCAAGATGCCGCAGACGTTCCAACTCTTGCCTCTTAATCTCATCAAGCCTCGTCCTCACATTGTGATTGACGAAGTCGAGTTGTTCAGCAATTTTACCTGTCTGCAAATATTTGTTAACATATCAGTATTTCAAAAATACTAATGTGTACAGTGTAACTGACTTAATACGTCATAGTGTCATGTACATTTCAAATCAATGTACGTAAATATTACAATGATGAAAATAATATTTGCCACAAAAGCAGTAAAAGGAAATTTTCATTTTGCATTAATTTGAAACGTTACATTATTCTCAATCACAATAGAAGTAAGACTCGTAAATTGTTTTGCTAATAATAGAACAACAACAAACCTTTATTTCATGACTTGTTCATTGTTATGATACCAAAGTAAGCAAATTGTAATAAAAAAAGTGTTGTGCAAATAGTATTATCGCTGCCACAATTTCTTTCAATCTCGATTGACTATTTTATATTAATCAAATACAAAAATATTTTATATAAACTTACACGAACGTCATCCTCGTCAGCTTTCTCCAATCGTTCTCTAAACTCCGGATCACTTTCCAAAGCCTGTACAACCTCCTTCAAATATCTATGATACTCCGTGTACTCGGCCTGTAATGAAATACCCAATGAAAAATAAAATAATACCACACTCACAAATACAAAACATTCTTCAGGACAAAGAAAAATTCTTAAAATTGTATCATATCTTGTTTAATAATAATTACTGTTGCTCTTACTATTCTAAAGTTGACAAAGAAAGACTATAGGTGTGACTTATGGCAATCAGCAATAATTGTAATAACAATCTTATTTAAAAAACTAAACAAAACAAAAAGGTTAAATACAATGTGAAAACCACAAACATGCTGATAAGATTGTGGATTAGGAAATTTATAGTAGGTATAAGCAATTAAAATTATTCGCACAGACATTATACTATTGTAGCAAAATGTTATTATAAAATATGATAAATGTTAAATTTATGAAAGTATGTAAAAGTATTTGTTAAAGCTAATTAAATGTAATACAACAATTACAAGTACAGTTATGCTATATAACCTTTTCTTCAAAATATTTGTTTTTTTTTTTAAATGTGTAATACAACAATTTAAAAAAAAATTGTAAAACGCATTTAGGAATAAGACTTATTTTACAATAAAATCAATAAAAATGTAATCAGTTTATACAAGATAGTGTCATGTCTAAAGATTGATTTAAATTAATTACTTGATAATCTTTTAAATATGTTTTTTTGTAATTGCCTTGAATTTTATTGGATTTATAAACTTACATTATTTTTATTACATACACACAATAACTAAAATTAACTAAACACTTACAAGAAGAAACCCTTTTTCAACTTGCATGAGAAGTAGAACTAATAATAATAAATAATGATCAACAGTGAAACCATAAATAGTTGAAATTCAAATAAATTAGCATTGACTTTATGAATTCACATATGTACTAAGTAATTGATTGTTTCATAACATTGAGGTATAATTAAAATCATATTAACATGCACAGTTTATTAGAAAAATAAATCGCATGTGCATAGGGTTGCCATCTCGAAAATTTGGAAAACAAGACAAGACGCGTGAAAACCCCGGATTTTAGAGTTCGAAAGCCGGACATATCAACAAGATCTTTTAAACATATTCAATGTAATAGAAAACAGTTAAAAATGCCATAAATCACCTTTTTTATTCATCCATTATTTTAACAAAGCAGAATCATATTACAATTTGTTACACATTGTTTATATAAATCAGCTTTTTAAATACTTAAAATAAGAAAACAAAACCTTAGGAAAATTTTAAACAAAAACATATATTTAATGAATTAAAATCTGAAAAGTACCTACTTAGACCATTCTAGTACTCAGTCTTACAATTTTCGAGGTAACTTTTTTATAGTTCTATAATTATTATCTGCTTTACTTTTTATCAGCAGTCAGTTATATAACAAAATATACCAATTTTAGCAGAAAAGAAACTAACGGGAGGGGTGGGGGAACGGTGTATATACTTGGTTGGTCGGTTGATCGTGATTTGCGAGCATTGTGCGTGTCTCGCGGGCGGCCCAAATTTTTTTTTTTTATTTATTTTTCAAAACTCGGTCTACAAATGAAACCTTCCCCGGACGCTCCCCAGATGCCCTCTAAACTAGGACAAATCCAGGGAAACCTGGACGGATGGCAACCCTATATGTGCATACTTAATTGAAACACGAGCTAACTGCAAGGCAATTCTGTTATATATTGTTTTATTCTATTCACATGTGAACCACTGCAATTAAATAATTAATATAATATCATATAAAAATATAACAATTAATATGTATATTTTTGTAACAGATTGTTTTATACTTTACTTGTAGGTAGTACTTTAGAGGCAGGGTGAATTCTTAGCTCAAGGTTGTCTTTAAAAGTAAATGCAGAATTATAAATAATCAATAAGCAATAAACAGGTTATACAAGTGTGAATGTTTTTAAAAATGATTGAAACTAAATAAAATTCTACTCCAATAAAATTCTTGTTTCATGAATTACAACTATTTATGTACCATAAAAATTCAGAATGTCATCTTTAAGTGATAACTGACAATACTTATACCTAAACAAATACCATTTTTTTAGAACAGTGGTAATTTCTAATCACTAACAACTTTGAAAATGGAATGTAAACTTTCCTCAAACTGTAATAAGCATAAAAAATAGAAAATAATACATTTTTATAGGTATATATTAAACTCCAAATACTGACTTGAATTCGCAAAGCATATTAACATGTAATATATATTTGTATAGATAAAGGAATTGAAAAAAATCATCTTTTTCAAGAACATATTAATTGCGATTAATTACACTGTCATAATTGCTGTGCCACTATATTACTGTAGACATTGTTACATAAAAATTCATTAATAACTTCAATTCAGGATTAAATATAATATAAGTCTTAAACAAACCAGAAAAAAAATATTTTAAGTTACATTCTATGAAAACTTGAAAAAAAAGTACTTAGATAAAATAGAGTTTCAATGAAAAAGATTATGAATGACAAATGTATGTAAATACTTCATACTACAGCAAAAAAACAACTCAAACACAGTAACATTAAGCAGAAACGCTGATCATACTGATTATAAACAATACAGTAAAATATGAATATCATTTACAGGCTTTGTTCACTGTTTCTGTGACATGTCTTATTATGGCATAAGTCCCATAACCTGACAAAAATACTAGTCATTTAAATACAAAAAAAAGGAAAATGCTGTTGTAATGCCAAAAGTCCCATCATCACATCAATTAACATTATGAAATAAGTATACTCTAAAAATAAAATAGTCTTATAACTAATAGTGAAAGTAAAATACTTACAAGATCATCCACAACATCACTGTCTTGTTCCTTAGGCTTCTCAGGAGAAACAGGTGGTGCATATGAACAATGTAAGATTGCAGCCAAAAGGATAATGTAACCAAACAGCCTCATTGTTATCCTTGAAATATGTTAAGATTGATTAAAAAATTGCTGTCACAATTTTATTCCATTAATATAAGACAATGTCAACAATTTGTCTCTTATTCTTCTTCTCAGTTCATCGCCTATTTGTGTTTTTACCTCATATGAATATTAATTTCATTATCATATACGAAAATACCTGGTGCTCTTTATAAAGTACCTACATAATTTGGGTAGATAACTAACATATATTAGATATTATAATTTAAAAATGAGAAAATGACAATAAATCTTCTTCAGAATTGGGGCTAAGGAAGAACACATATGATTTCTATTTGTTATAAATTGTTTGCATAATTATGATTTATGATAGTTGTTTTCCTCAAATCAAAAAAATTGAAAAGTGAAATCGGCTTATAGGAAAGTTCGGAATGAATATATTGAAAAATAATTACTTACCAAATTTTAAAAGTTGTGAAAGTTATTATTAATAAAATTAATTTGAGTTCTCAGAATCAGCTCTAGTAATCAACATGACGTGTCTTGTAATTCCAATATAGGTAATAATATGTCGTGTCCCAACTAGGAAGCCCCAATGGCTATGATCAATACGATAGAGCAGTTTATACACCTCATATTTTTTATCTATATTTGTCTTTATGGACATTAACAATATTTTTTTATTTTATATAAAACTTAGTAGTTTGTTTGCACATTTTCATGAAAAATATTTTTTGAATTTTAATGTATGCTCTACAACCTCAATATTTTATATTAGATAACTTGATGATAAGTCAAAGTAGTCACAACTAATTTATTAATTTTAAAAAATAATATAAATTGTTTCCGACGTAATTTAGTTTCTTGTTTAATTTATGAACGTTATTTATAAATACATTTAAATGTGTATTTGTAACCTTTTTGCCAATGCCTAGAATGTACACAATTATTTTGTTTGTTTGTGTTCAAACTTTCATCGAAAATCGATCGCCGACGAAGTTAAATGTCTAGTGTCTATTACTGACTACTGTAGTACAACTACATTTTGGTAGTTGACACCCGCAGTCTAAACTTATGTGCTTAAGGTATTGATTTAAGTGGCTGGTCCTTCCAATCTTTATAAAGGTACGAAGGTAATTAAGAAGATTCTTTATTGAAGTATATTTAGATGTCATAGCAGAAATAAATCAAGATGAACAGAGATAAGAGAGAACCAGAGTATCCTGCGGAGCTAGAGTCTCAGTTTATTCTTCGTTTACCGGAGGATCCAGCAAAAGTATTGCGAGAGCTACTTAAAACTGGAGATAACATAAAAAGTCGTCTAACAATTCAAATAGATAACGATATGAGAAATGGGGAGGTACGATTTGACCATTGGTTAATGCATGCGAAAATTGTAGACTTACCAACTATCATCGAGTCATTGAAGACAATTGACAATAAAAGTTTCTATAAAACAGCCGATATATGTCAGATGATGATATGTAAAGAGGAAGCAGATCAACCGCCTTCAGAAGAAGAATCGCCTTCAAAAAATAAAAAAAAGGACCCCTACAAAGTTGATAAGAAATTTCTTTGGCCACACGGTGTGACACCGCCTACCAAAAATGTAAGGAAGCGTCGCTTTCGCAAAACTTTAAAGAAAAAATATGTAGAAGCACCTGAAATTGAGAAAGAAGTAAAAAGATTGTTAAGAGCTGATAATGAAGCTGTCAGTGTCACTTGGGAAGTTGTGAAAGAAGAGGATGATCAACTTAAGCCAGAAACTGGTACCCCAACACCAACACCAAAAGCAGAGAAAAAGACAAAAGCAGCTGAAAGAGCAGCAAAGAAAGGTGCAGCTGCTGCAGCAACCAAAGCTGCATCTGCAGCAGCCGCCGCCGCCGCTGCTGCTGCTTCTGCTGCGGCTGCAGCCGCCAGTGCCAATAACTCTGAGTCTTCTAATGTTGTTGATATATTTGGCAGTGCCGTAAGTGACAGTGATGCAGAAGATGACAACATTAATGTAGAGTTGGATGATAGTCACTTCTCAACTTACGATAGCCGCCTATCCGACAATAGTTCAGTTTTAGGCTTGGGAGAAATGCAAACAAAAAAAGAAAGCTACCCAATTGAATTTGATTCACAAATGTTTCAAAGTGGTCAAAGCAATAAAAGATCTAATAGAAGCCGAGCCACAACTCCAGCAACTTCAACAGTTACCAAGAGTGGAGGGTTGTCATCTGAAGAAGACGGAGAATATTCACGAGATATGTCTAAAGATAATATGTCAGTGAGAATTGAGGAACTCCGAACTGAACTAGAAGAGTTGAAACAGCGCAAACAGAGAATGCAGTATGAAATTGCTGGAATGGAAAATTTGGCTTTACGACAAAGATTTCAAGAGATACTACATACACTAAACCAGGATGTTATGTATAAGGAAATGGAATATCAAGGTCTCATCACATTACAAAATTCTGAAGATATATGAGGAACATATTACATGTAAAGAGCTAAAAGCTTTTTACATGTATGAATCTTTATATCATTTTTTCTTAAAAGAAAAACTTATTTTGTGTAAAAAGGTAAAATGTTTTATTTTTACTGTCATATTAATTTTATATAATTACATAATAACTTTTATTGCAATAATAAGTATAACAGTAAGGAAATATTATAATTAGATGATAATATATGGTCTTCATGTTGTAAAACATGCATTTTAAAACTATCATTAACTACATTTGGAATATTACATGAACATCTCTTGTTGTGGCACTCTTGTATTTTTCTTTATATTGTAGAAATATTTTTATTATTAATTAGGTGTTTAATGTAATTATCATTAATTAGTTATATTTGTTGCAATTTATTACTTTTTTACTTTAAGTAGGTCTTAGATCCCTTCAAAATTATACAAACATAGGGTCTACCCTTAGATCTATAGGCTCTTAGATCTATCTAAGAGTCACTTAACTGTATTTAATAGTATGCATAATAAAATACTGTATTAGCTGATAAAAATTAGTATAAATTTAAGTATTTTTTTATTGTTATCTTAGATATGTATCTCCTGACAAGATTATCTTAATTACTATTTAATTTTTACCACTCCTTTTTAAACTATTTACAATTTTTTTTACTAACCTTAGTAAGTTGGGAAATAGTATTATTACAATAAGAAAAATATTTTTTTATTTCTACACTTTTAAGAAAACTATTATTATACTATATTATTACGCAATATTTAAAAATGTAGATTGCAATTTACTGATGTAGCAACCAAGTATTTTAAAAATAAACATTATAATGCTAATGGAGAACTTGTTTTTATTTCAATCATAATTCTAGAATTCTCTATCGCTATAAACACTTATTACTAAAATTTTGGATGCTAGCTTAGAATATAGTATATTCTTTTGAAAACAATGCTCTTTATTCTATTATTGTAATTAGTTATTACCATGAACAGCTTTGATGACTGTTCATTTGATTCCAAATATTTATATTTATTGAAAATTTATATTTATTGAAAATTGTAGGAGCAGTTGGTTTAATTTTCTACCCACCAATCCATAAATTCTAAATAAAAGAAAAATAACAATAGTTTTAGAAATTGGTTGTTACAAAATAAAAAAACTATTATAATATAATATGACAATGTACACATGTTACAAAATATTGTAAATACAAAAGAAACTTATAACAAATGAAATTTCACAAATTCCTTAAACATTGGAGTGAAAAAAAATTACAAGAGTTTATGATCCTTCCTCTAAATTTAGTTTAATGTGAATTTTATCATTGCAATATTTTGTTTCTTGTGTTCTATATTATTTTTTTGCTTAATCTATATTGACGTCATGCATTTTTAAACGTTTTTATGGTTTACCGTTTCAGCTCTATGCTCAGCTCTATGTCTCTTTAGTCTAGTCTACTGTTTTGCACTTAACAAGTTTTTATATACAAATGTGGCGGTGTTTCGACAAATATTATATTAGGTAGTGATATTTATATATAAAAATATTTAACTTCAATATTGACGACAATCATATATTCTACTACAAATAGAAATAATTTTGTTCTTCAACCAACAAATTATAAAAAATAAATAATTGCTTATAATATCCAGCATTAATTAAAAAAAATGGATTTTAAAATGCATGAATACACACATGCAGTCGTTGGTAAAGTAATTCCAGCACTTAAGCTAACTGATAGAGCTGACTTGAATGACGCCCGTCGTCAATATGATTATTATTTAAGATTATTAAAAGAACTAAATTTGGAAATTATTGAAGTCGAAACAGATGCCTATTTTCCGGAAAATATTATCTTTGAAGATATAGCTATCGTTTGCCATGGCATTATGCTTTTGCCAAGACCAATATCCAGCACTGAAGAAATAATAGTAAGTGAAATATCTTATTTTTGTAAGTTCTTGAAAGCTCAATTTTACAACACATTTATGATAAATTTTCAAAACATTTTCAAGTTTATATAAAAAAGTTGAATTAATATTATATAAGTAGTGTAGTATATAATATTGTCCTTTGCCAGCCTCTTAAGTTTTCATAGTTCCTTCTTCAGTCTTCTTATATACATACCAAAATAGTTTGGTTTGTTAAATTTTATATCCATGATATTGTATTCAATTCTCATTAAATTTCCCTTACAATTTAATTGATTTAACTACCAATATGGTATTAGTTAAACCTTTTTGTATTTATAATAATAAAATATATTTGGTTTTGCCTTAAGAGTAAATTATTTAATACACCATGTATTTTAATAAGAAACAATTGTTTAACTTATACAATCATTTTTCATACTCAGATATATTTTGCATTTAAGAATATGTTTGGTATTCTCAGTTATTATGCTTAGTTTATAATTATTAATATACACACATAAAATGCCATTTTTCAAGCATTATTTTATTTAAAGTTGAGAATATGTAATTAATTTTCTTAAAGAATTAATTACTTGTATGGTGTAGTTTAAAATGTCATACTAACTTTTGTGTGGTACTGTTCTATATTTCAGCTTAATATAATTATCTTTTAATTGCACTTCAACCTGTTAACTCAATTGACTCATGGTCATATTACATGTTCTAGAAGTAATGACGGTAGAAATGAAATAAAATAATTTATAAAATCTATAACATAATTATGTGATATATTTTATTTACTTTAATTTCATTGAATGAATGTTATTCATAAAAAAATTGTCACAGATAAAACTTTATGCATATGGTACAAAAGATAGAAGTTAATTTTAAATACATATTTAAAGTTACCTATGGTAAAAGAAGTGACTTTAACTTTTAGTAATTACAGTCAAAACCGTTTATAACGACATTGAAGGGACCGTATATATCCGATGTTATATCCGATAGTCGTTATAAGCAATAGTCATATACACAACTACAGTAGTTATACATATTGTCATATGTAGTCACATATCTATCTAGTATAGATATAGGTTATGTAAAGGATTCAGAAAAGAAATAAAAATATTTATTACGAAATAATTAGAATACAAAATGTATGTACTTGGCTGCTTACAGTTACGGGTTATAAAAAACTACACTAGTTTTTAAAGTAATCAGTCATTTTAGAATTATTTTTTTTAGCACAGTCTCAAATATTTTTAGCATTTTACGTTTCATACTCAAGGTATGAGTATCATCAATATCAAAGTGTTCGTTAAAGGCAATTTTTTTTTGCAAAACTGTTACATCATTAAGAGCCTCGGAAATTATTGTTGGCTGAAACTATTCTTCAAGGTTTTGTTGGTCTTCGTGTTGTTCGTTAGTGTTAGGGTTGTTACTTTTAGCTTCTGCGAGAATCTCTTCCTCAGTAGCTAAGGCGCTAACGCGACACTGTTATCTATTCCAATAAATTCCTCTATCTCAATTCTTTGTTCTAAAGCAGTAGATCTTTGCAACTGGGTAAGGACAAGGAGCGGTTGGTCGTTAAAGTCGATTAATATCGATAAATTTTCGTCGTTCTAAGCGATATGTCGCTGTATCCGATGTTGTTATAAGCGGTTTGTATACTGAATAGTTTACTAGCAATTCGGACGGGACCATACAATCTGGCTGTAATAACCGATAGGTCGTTGTAAACGATGTCGTTATAAACGGTTTTGACTGTATTTAATTGTTTAAATAACTCCTCACTTTCAAATATTTATTGATATTTATTTCAAAAATATTTCTATAAGATTTGACCAAATAATAACTAAGTTCTTATGTATTTAATTAAACATTAAATCAATTTTGCTCTGACATTGTTATTAAAAAGTATTAGAAATAGGTTTGTTTAGAAACTAATACATTGAAAATTATGTCAACACCATTTCCAGATAGCAACTGGAACACAATATCTATTATATCAATGAATTTTTTACTCTTTATTTTCTATTTGAATTGTAATTTAAACCTTAACTAAAATTTTGAAGTAATAATTTTGTTAAATGCTAAACTAAATAATTTACAGATGACGGCACTGAAAGAAGTCATGCAAAATGAACTTGGACATACTGTTATTGAAGTCAGTGATCCAGAAGCCAAGCTTGCCGGTTCCGATGTCTTATTCACAGGTAAATATACAAATGATAATAAAAATATATTGTATTATAAAAAAAAACTAAATGTATGAAATATAATTTATTTATTTTTTTCAATTTATGTTGTCACATATTCATTTCAGACACTTGATATTTACATTTTACTAAAACGTTTTAAGGCCATAAAATGATGAAGTTGGAGCTCTTCATGAATCTTAACTTAAAATTATTATCTTCTTCTTCTTCTAAGTCGATACGTTCTTGGCAGAACCGTCGTGGTCATCATGATGTGCGATGGCACGCTTCACAACACGTCGCCACTCGTCTACCTTGATGATGACTTTCTTGGGAATATAGTGCAGTGGTTTCCCCTTGCCTTCTGCACCAGACATTTTAGGAGCTATTTAAACTCCAAGGTTGCTGTAGCCTCTTCCTACTGAAGATGACGTAGATACTTCAGTAGGGTGTATGGTTATACCGCCATTGCTCGGTCGCTATTGCCTCGTCCGTTATCTAGGAGTACTCCTGTACAGAAAACCAGTCCAGGTTTCAAAGCTTTGGCTATAGCCTCTGCTCTGGTTGGAGATTTAGCTTGAGTGTTTATTGAAGTCATCGCAGAGAATTATTATGATGAAATTTTTAAATAAAACTAATAAATCATTTTACAAATTGAAAAATAAAAACAATTATTATTATAACTATAACTAATATCATTTTTCTTTTATGCAGGCCGTGAGTTTTTCGTAGGCATTACTGAGACCAGCAATGAGGCTGGAGCCAGCGCACTAGCTGAGGCATTCCCAGAGTTTCCTTGCACACCTATAAAGGTAACAACTTAGTATTGTAAATTTTTTAAATACAAGTCCTTTTTAACTTCATAATTTATATTGCTTAAAAAGATGGTTTAAGTAATCCTGCTCAATAGATTTCTATCTAAGTTAAACATTAATGAGGTACATATATTAAATAGAATTAAAATATATATTTAACAATATACTAAAATATCAATAAAACTAAATATGAATACAAAATGAACAAATTAGCATACATATCAACACTTGTAGCTAAAGCTTCAATGAATCTATCATCCAGGTGTCTCAAGGGGTGCGTCATTTGAAGAAGTACTTCAGCATGGCAGGGCCAGATATTCTGTGTGTGGCGTCCAGCAAGGAGGCTAAAGAGATGCTGAAGAGGATAGAAAGAGAGGCCACATTTACCTATCAGACCCTCACTGTCCCTGAAGTAGGGGCTGCCAATTGTTTGTATGTGAATGGTACTCTGATACATCGTGCAATAGAAGAGATACCAGAATCCTTTAAGGTAAATTTAATAACTCACGGATAACTAAAATTTAGAAGTATTTATCTTAATAACATTTGTTATTAAATTTATAAAACAATATTTAGAGAATCATTTGTAATGAATCTTAATACAAATCAATGAAAATAATGAAACACAAGATTTTCTGATTCGCATCGTTTTATTACAAGCAAATTTTAACTACTATTTGAAAAAACATGCTTTGCTACATAAGATACCATTTTTCTTAAATTCATTGTAATAACTCTGAAAATTTTCACAAAATACTCAAGATTATATACTTTTTAATAACGTACATCTCTTTCCTTTTTAATTTCTAGTAAAGATTAAAAATGCTTCATTTAAATTATATTTATGATCAATATTATAAAAATTTAAGCTAACAAAAAGCTATTTTGCTTTAAATTTTGTCCCCACTACAAAAGCCTGTCGAGTTGGACAACCAAGATACCAGTCGAGTTGGACAAAAAGTTGCCAGGCCAGGCTGTACCGTTTGTTCTATACTACTTACTTCTTGCCATCCTTAAAGTCGGGTTCCAAAATTATTCATAAATTTGTACTGGGAGAATGCTGAAGTAGGTTGACATAATTTATACCGTTATGAATTATACTGTGATTTACAAGAATGATACAATGTTAAAGCCATATGAATTCGACTGGCCCTTCAAAATTAATGCGAAAAGTTACCCATATTCAATTAAACGTACATACATATAAAATTATAAATAATACCGCTTCATGCAAATATTCTGTGGTTAAAAACTGACATTAGCTTTAGATATAGAGAAAAGGCTAAACATTTGTTAGAGGTGATAGTGAACTTCTGGTCCCTTTTATAGACCTGTCTTATTTAACTATGGTATATAATAAAAAAAATTATAACACTTAAATTAATAAACAAAAAAATCCTCAATCTGTGAAAACTGAATAAAGTTATTGTTAGAAGTTGGAGGTCATGTTATTTTTTTGTAAAATGTCACCATATGTACAAAAGGTTTTAAAAGGAGAAAAATATTTTTGTATGAAAACTAAGACTTATTGTTCAATCTAAACACATTTCATGGTTAATTAAAGTGTCACCTTAGATTAGCACTAGCTCAGTAAAAGGTCACTTTCCTTGAATATCTCCATTTAGTCTATTCCAATCCGACATTATTCTATTCCAGTCTTCAATTATTCTATTTTCTATTTCTAATGTTTCTCCTCTTATCTATTCCAATTTTCAGCTGTGTGCTTGAAAATGTGAGAGAGTGAATGCTTTTTGAATCCAAATTGCCTTGTCCGAACGTGCGAGAGATTAACTACAAAAAGAAAAACCAAAAAAAGGGGGTGGAGGAGTTATGTCGTGCAATTCTTACACACTATTGTACGTCTTTGGTTGAGGCTGACTAGATAATTTTTCACAATTTCCTGATCAACCGTAAGGTGTCACTCGTTAGCACCTTTCCAAACGTGACAACACTACTTTACACAAATACATATTTTGGAAAAACGTTACACATGGAATTAGTAGTCGGAGCCACGTATTCTCTTGAACTAGCATACCTATTTGGACGTCCGTCCATGTATGCATCCGTTCATCCATGCATCCATTCATCCATGCACTATCTTCACTAACTTATATCTCCTCTCATTTTCATTCGCCTCGCCGATCACATTTTCGTAAAGCTTTTATAATCTTACCCCCAAGTGTACGTAAAGAAGTTTTACTTCAAAAGGTCTTGTGCTTAAAATCCTTCTTTTATTTTAACCTATTAATATTTTGCACGTTCGATTGTCATTTTTAAACGTATTTATTTTGCTATTTCAGGTATTCTGTGAAAGAATTGATTTCGCTCGTCGGTCGATATGCTTCTCATCACTTGCTAAAGTTTCTAGCGGACTCACAGCATGCTGTCTTCTGGTGAGGAAACCTTAAACAACTCGACATATTCTATGTTAAAACCTGATGATTTTTTTTCAAGCACCGCTCCAACAAGTCTTTTGCAAAAAATTATATCTTTCATATTGATAATTAATTTTTAACTTACAAATTGTTTTTATTTATAAAATTATTTTTAGGACCATTACTATAGAAAAATCCCATTTATGAAATACACAGGTCGAAAATGATGAGATGCTTTTATTAAATACGAGCGTGGGCAGGTCTTATTTTGCTTGCAATTACAAGTTAAGATGCAAATAGCATAATGTAAACAAATTATTTTGCTGTATTAAAAGCTTAGCATCTTATTTTACCTTTGTTAATATGTATTTGTACATTTTTATTTGCAATCTTTGGTCATTAGGTTAGATATCGTCTGTTTCTTTTCCTACCCTTTACCTAACGTATCACAAGCTATTATTTTTGTTTTCCTTTGTTCAGAATAGGTTAATTTTAATGTGATGATCTTTTTACCTCAACCATTTAGTTAAATACGGCTGATTCAAAATGTTCTGATTTACAATTGTACCTCACCCTAATCTAAACAAAGACCTTTAGTACTAGTATATTGAAATCATTCCTTAACTTGAAGACTGAAATAGTATATGATACATGACACAAAAACCTGTAGAAAAAAATGCCTAGTTTTTGAAGGACACAAGCCGACGTGCTTACTAATATAGTAGAATCTTTTCGAATTTTATCGAAAGCTTTACTGCTCGATATAAATTCCAACTACGAACCGATTTTTTGTTCCTATATTCCACATTCCCTTAGTTTTTAGTTTTAGTTGATAATAATGACGTACAAATGTTTAACCTTAGTACCTGGTGCCGTACTTTGTTCATTTATATTGTAGCATAAAATATAGCACAAAAATTGTCATATCCCATTTTATATTTAATTCCAAGTAAAATATTGAACATTACGATACTTATTTAATAATTCTAAGTATGATTATTAATAATTTATAAGAATACCTGTTAAAATCACTTGGAACTATTCTGAAGATTTATTGTTAAATGTTTTAATTAAGAATGTTAAATTGTATTTCTAAGTTGTTTTTTTATTTTAACTTATTATTTTGAAAAATCTCTTTAATTTTAACCAACAATAATTATAAAAATATTTAAATTGATAGATTTCCTTATACCATTATAATATTCGCTCTCTATAAACCTACATAGAATAAATATAATATTTTTGTAAATATACAATACTATAACCCAATAAATATTCTTAATCGTTAAAAAATTCAAGACTAGCTTGTATCCTCGTGTTACTTATGAGCATATTTCCATGTATTTAAAATGTATGTCCCGGTATAATATTTACTCTTCAATAGTCATTTGAACAATATATAATATAGTATTCTGAATCTCGAAATTCAGTTTGTGCTCTCGCTACGGTTGCTAAAAGTGTTATTGGAAAGCTATGTGAGATTATTTATTGCTTGTAATTATAAAATGAAGCAATGTATAACATTAGTGTGATTAAATATCGCTTCCCAACGCGCCTGTCGAGAGTACAGTCTAATTATTATTATAGTATTAATAACGTAGTTAAACTACTGCATAATATAATCAGTATTCGATATTGTAAACGGATTTCGCACATTTCGCTTAGCGCTTACACATATTAATAAAGCACATAAATATATTTTAACAATGATAGTTTTGGATTTTAGATAAGTTTTATTAAATTTATCTTTTCTTTATGATCATTAATAAAAACATACTGAAATCAAATACATTTTGGTTAACATTCGAGAACCATTGCATTTCTGTTTTATGTTATAATAGACAGGTAAGATATCATCAATTCTGTAATGTGTTTGTAGACTTCAATAAATAATGTTATGAGTGTAGTATGAGTTTTATTCAAACGTATTTTTTATCCCATCCACTATTTTTTTACACCCAGCAGCGGTAGTAGGGGATTGAAAGGCGCTTTGCAAAGTAGTAAATGGGTTGCATCAGCTAATGGTGTAGCATTTATATACTTACTCATTCCAGCAAAGTGCACCACGACGTGTTTTTAATCAGAGTGATATAGATAAATATTGTGCTGTTTTTATCATTCCTTCAACATCTGGATTCTTGACCTTATCATATTTTCTGTAAAAGTATGTTGAAATTAATTTATGTAGTTGGAAAACCTTAATATATATTTAATTTGAAATCTCATTTTCCAATTATAACGTTGAGATCAGATAATTTTAATGTAATATGCTTTATAATGTTCTGAATATTTTACGTTAAATTCCTTCAATTCGAAAATATTAATTAAATTTTATCGTACTCATGTACTCGCCGCACTACCGTAACATTCCAAACCATACAACTATTCCTTAAAATTATAGTTCAACTAACATCCTACCTGACAGCTGCCACATAACTGCCACACTGATATTAATGAAAATACTACAATCTCTACAGCGTTAAATTTTCAATACCGCTACGATAACATAATGCGTAATTTAAAACAATTGACGAAATTTGTTTTTCCGCTTGACGTGGTGAAAAAAAATACAAATAGAAATGGATGTTATTTGAACGTATTGTTTTAAAACTACTCTACAACTTTAATAGTAGGGATATTTTAAAGAGTGCGAGGACAAGTTCACTCTCGAAATACTATAATATGTAAAGCGTGATTTCAAAAACAGCAAAAGATGATTTCAATACAAGATGTCTTGAATACGAGTAAAGATTCGAAGAACACAACTATACTTTTGAACTCAAAATAACAGATACTTCTTTTAGGAATATAAATAAATATATACAAAAAGTATTACATAATGTTTATCTACTGGTCTGGGAATTTTGCCCCTCCTCATCCTTTCAGAAGAAAACTATAATCACATAATATTTAAAATCAATTTGAGTTCTGTCATGGATAATGTAGTTATAAAAATTGTTAAAGTATTTCATGAATAATAAAATAGACAAAGAAAATAAAATGTAAAATAAACTGGTTAATCCATTCTAAAAATATGAGAGCTGTCGTAGTATTATTTTAAAAATAAGCCCTTTGCTTAATTTTGTCCATTTTTATTAGATTATTCAAATGAAGGGAAGAAGGGGTAGATAAGGTTTAGTTTTTTGAGAAAAATAAATATTTTGTTTACATAAATATTTATATAAATGATAATTATGCGGGACTCGAGTGTTGTTCATCCATTTGTACTGTAAAATTGTAGAGCTGAAAAGCGTTCTGTTAATAAATTTACACGGTTATTTTATGTTAATATAGGAGTTCAATAATACTTACTTTGATTTATGATTTTAAGTTGTTTTTGTTATGAGTAGGGAATGATTTTCTCTATTTTAAATTCTAAAATGTAAGTTGTATACGTAAATAAATTATTGAAATACTTGAGATTATAAGACACCAATAGTAGTAATAACCTGAGTGGAGAAATAATGAAACGTTTGAAATTATTATTTTTTCGCTATGATATTTAAATACCGTTACAAGTTAAGTATTTATGTAATAACATAAGTACTTATTTTCATAAACCTGTCACTCATGGAATATTATTTAAAATGTTTTTAAACGACTTTTAACGTGTAAAAATAATATAATGAAGAATTATAATATAAAGAGATAAGGTCAACAAAATTTAAGTACGACTGTAATACGGGTATTGAAGTTTAGCTTTTCCAAAGTAACCTCTATCTTCCTATAATAATATAGAGGTATAATACATGGCGATGGGACCAATATCAATGTAAATTTGTTGAAATGACCAACGTGTTAATCAAATAATTTATACGATATTTATCCCATGGATGGTAAATTGAAAGTGAATGTATAATTGTAATTTAGGTAATTTAATTTTAAGTATCCTTTACAACACAAATGCAGAAAACTGGCAATTCTGGTGTAAGAAAAACCATATATACAAATGAAAAAAAATTATCTCTTTGGTGATATGTTAAAATTTTATGTTTATTGTCTATCGTATTGCAAGCGGACGATGTAATTAAAAGTTTTTATAAATTATGAATAACTAAAGGTTAGCATATTAATTTTAAGCGTTTTTGAACATTGTTAGATTTAAATAACAAATAGTAGTATCACATGACAAAATATAAGACGTTTAACATAATGCAATTTTACTAATTAAAAATGGATAAATGTTTCAGAAACGGTTCCTAACATCAGTTACTTAAGTTAATAGAGGATAATAAGTTTTCGCAAACAATTAATGTAGCTTGGAAATCCGCTGATATGTCATTAGTGATCCATTATAAGTTTAAGAACCTACATTGTTAGTGGGGAATGTAAAAGGTTTGTGTAACTGTTAGCTTTAAAATTTTGAAACTTATTACAACTTCCATGATAGCTATAGTTAATTTAAATGCTTACAGAAACAATATTTACAAGAATAAACAAGACAATATTTTGTTTTGTGGTATTCGAAATCTTTTTTGTAAATAACTATTTAGTGACGAAAATTTGTTTTTAATGTATTTATATTTAAGAGCATATTTTCCCAGGACTATAAAAAATCAAATTCCTGTTTGAGTTCACGTAAAAGGAAAATTAATGTCACAATTAAATATATATGTGTAATATTTCTCTAAGAAGTGGGTTATTATACCTATATATATTTGAAAACCAAAACCAAAAGTAAAAAAAGTCTGACTTGTCAGCAGCAGGAAATTCGTTTAAGTTTTAAATTGGTGATATGTAGTGAATACAAGTGTCAATATGTTGTGAACTTTGGTGCACGCTAAGCTTTTGTAGACCCCGACCCTCGTAGAAAAATTCTGGTACCATAGCAAAGTGGACGTACCTGATAGTTATTTACTAACCCTAGAAATAATCCGCTCTGTTTTATTGAAGATAGGTACATTCTAATACATGCTGAAGGAAATCACACAAAAAATTTGAAATATCATTTTTTTAAAAGGAAACTTTATTTTATTTATAGCCATAATTCATTATTTGAAACCAACAATCGTATTTACTGAAAATGACACAAG